TATGCATGCGATTGTTGCAAGTGATTTATCGTACAGACGCGATAACTCTTTCCAGATCTGTGTCGCCGATAATTGGTGCAAACAATTCCTCAACCAATTCTCGAGAACAACATCCAGTGAGAATAGGTAGGACAAATAGAATCTTCGCCAGTTTATTCTCTCGATCGTCTTGCTGTTGGAGATGTTGTATTAGAGTTTTCACGGCGTAATTTCTCGCTTGTGACATTATGTGGACACCGTTTGTAGTAGTATTGGCGATTTCTGCAATTTAAACCACACTTTCAATGTAATCGCATTTTTATCGGTGAGAAATTCAGCATATTTTATTTGTATACTATCGAAAAGTCATATGTCTTTCTTGCATATACATATATGTACCGTTTAACTTTTATTTACCTGGACGACACAACGCAAACGTGTCTAAAACACACAATTCGACATCGTCAAGTTGCAATTTTTCGATCGCAGCGCGCGTTGCAATTATGCAGGCTAAAGCACTATCGTTACTCGTTGCACTTTGTCCTCGTATGTTCATTAAATCAACCGGCCACGTAGCTGCGCGTAAAACAAAAAGAGCAGACCATCCACGACGAAGAATCTTGTTTTGGTCTTCCACATTCAGTATCGAAAAATCTCGGTGACGACGTGCATTCCGAATAGCTGCCAGGAATATTTGCGCGGATATTTCGTACTGTATAGCCGTGCCTGCGTGCAATATAAAAATCCAATTAATTTCTCGTAGAGAAATATATATCACAACATTGTTTATTTGCATTACTCCACAAATCAGAATTTTTCTTTGAAAACTGTGGAACTTGATTTTAAAAAAATTAGAACTTAAATTTTATTAGGAATATAGCGCGCGTGCACACATACACACAGGTTAGATACTTGATAAATTCTATCTAAAGTTGAGTAATTTAAATATTCTAAGGAAAGAAAGTTACCGGGTGATATAATCCTCGTCGGCTGTACATAGCGTGTCATGACAGGAAAGAAAATATTCTCTCTAGTTTCAGATTCGTGTAACGTCTTCATCATTAGAGTATTATTCAGTGTGAGATTCTTGAAAGGCAAATATATTTCGGAATTATTAAAACGTGCACAAAAAGACGTTGAAGGATCAACTCTAGGCTTCCAGGTGCTGTTAGAATTATGCGGATTTGAGAGCGAATTGTTTCGAGCACGTGGCCCTCTTTCTTCCTGCACCGCTGTGAAAATATATGCTTTAAAAATTCAACAGTACCTTATAAAGAAAAATAAAGAAAACTTCTACTTCTTATTTATTATTAATTTTTATAATTGGTTTTGAGAAGAAGAAAATAATTTTCTCTTGAAGATGAGCAATTACTCCAACAACAATTAAATATTTGTTAAATATATTTCATAAAATTTAAATATTTAAGCTTTGCTTAAATTAGCTTTGTAAATATTATATCTTTTTCGAAAAGTTTTGTGAAGTTTCTATACTTCTTATTGTGTTACATAATTTTATTTTACATTTACGTCTTGATTATAATCAATATGAAAGTGTGGTATAACGATGTAATTGAAGAATTCCAGTAGGATGGCTTTGGTTCTTCGATCACAGGATAAGGTTTGTGTATTTAAGAGCTGAACTGACGACCGGAGTTGACATTCAATATCATTTCTCGTGACACATTATGGCAATGGCTACTACTAAATTATTTACTGGATTATCCATGAAAAATAGTTATCGCAATTTGTGTTTGTTACATATACCTATCCTTATAACAGATTTAGTCTTTCTTAGTTTCTCTAAAATCTTTGATTTATTTAACACTATATTTGCCATTATTCTCGCATTAAAAAAAAAAATCTATATATATATATATATATGAAATAAAAGAATATAAGGCAAACATCAAATTAACATAAATTGTCCACATTACGGTTCTGCTGTCAATTAACTTTTCTGAATATCGTTAAGGATGAAGGCACGTGTCTAGCACACGCCATTATTTGCATCTCGTTGAGTTTGTTAGCACCTTGCTATGTTTACTTATTGGCGGTGATTTTATGTTCGCCCTTACGATATAAGATTTCATAAAAAATACATATCGATTTAATTTAATACAATATTATTCGGAATGAAAATGAAAATGATTCAATTTAAAATTAAATTTATTTGATTATATAAAAAAGTTACAATTATAACTTTTAAAAGAAAGTTTAGATTATAAATTAAATTATGCAAACACATTGCAAACAATTGATAATATATCTTAATCTTTATGTAAACATAAAATACATTTAATACATCAACAATGAGCGTTGTTTTATGTTAATTTGATAATTATTACAAAAAAATTATATCTTATTAATGGCTTCGATTTTTACATATAATTAAAGTTATTTTAATATTTAGGTACTTTCTAGAAAAAATTTCTTTTAATATTAGGTACTTAGATAATTAAGTTTTTGTTTTAAAATTAACGGTAATTATTGAAAAGGTTGAACCTCATCAATGACTTCGATTTTTATGTATAATTAAAGTCGATATAATCCTGAATCACGCACAATCTTTAAATTACGTAAAACTTAATGTAATCGGAAATAAAAATTCGATCTCAGAAACTAGAAGAGTCAGCCACGTGATTTAAAGTGCGAGTGACTCAGGATTATATTGACTTTAATTGTATGTAGAAATTAAAGTCATTGATTAAGTTTAACCTTTTCGCAATAATTACCGTCAATTCTAAAACAAAAACTTGATTCCATATCTACGTATTTAAATATCAAAAGAAATTTTTTTGTAAATATATTTAATATATTTTACCTACCCGCCGTATTCATGCCAACGGAGAAACATTTCTTTAGACGGCAATGTGGACACCAATTCCGTCTGGCTTTGTCAATGGTGCAGGATCCATCACTATCTAAAGAATTATAAATCCGATTATTGATATGATATTTAAGCAGCATTTCCTAGCATTATTCTTTTGATATTGAATGATCTGGTATGTTCTCATATTTTTCTACTTTTCTGTAAACGCTTGAACGTGTACGAACTTGTACAAGTGAACAGAGCACCGCGACGCACGGATCTTTTAAAGAAACACGAGCAACCATCACAGCAATAAACACCGTAATGTTTCCCGTATGATCGATCACCACACACTTTACAGGACACTGGTGTAGGTAGAGTTCTTCCTATTACGAGAAATGTTATCGTTTGTCAGTTAAGAATTTTATTAAGATTACTTTTGAAAATTACAATTAATTTTATTACGAGAAAATTATTAATACTTTTTAAGGCTTTTTAATCATATATTACGCACAATCATACCATTGAAATATGTGTTATTTGCGATTGAATAAATTAAAATAGATATTTACCCATTTTTTTTTCTTATTTTGATGCAATAGGCAATTCAAGTTTACACAAATCGAGCGAGTTTTTGTAATTCGAATATGAATCGTGCGATAATATCCGAGTAATGATCAAGGTGATCGTGTCCGACCGAGCCCGCGAATGAAAGCAAACTCTGTCAGGACGTGGAACGCACCCCTGTTTGAGGGAGACTTAACTCATTGGTGGTGGAAATGGACGGACGTAAGTTGGATTTGTCCGACACGTCACTTCAAATGTCAAAACGCGAAAGAATAATATTTGCGATAGACTGATCGAGAATGACATCATTGTTCGATCGTGAAATTATTCCAGAATAGAGAAACCGTATTTAACTTTTCAATCAATTATTCAATAATTTAACGAATTTTTTTGTAGAAGTAAAATTGCAATCTTTTTATTAGAAAAGATTTTATTTTCTTGGTTTACAATATTGTTTGATGATTGGAATATACATAAAAATATGCTAAATGAAACTTCACAGTTTAATTTCTTATTTCCGCGTATATTTATTATAAAAATTATTTTGAATTTTACTCAACAGAAAAGTTTTAATTTCTTTTATTTATTAGCAAAACGATTAAAAAGATGGAAATTAAACAATACTATAGGAAAGCATCTGATTTTACAAATATCATGTTTATTGTTATCATAGATCAGATACTTTACTAATCAACATCAATTACGTATTATACAATAATTTATTTGTCCGTATAAAAAAAATGTAGGGACATATATATAGGATATGTACCTATATGTATATATAACTTCAAATTATCCTACAATGCTACATATTATTGCGGGAATTTTAATACTAAAAAAAGTGCGACGTTATCTTTTGTTCAACATTAAGTTTTTATTATTTTATACTATATTATTTTAAATAGGATCTCTCTCTTTAACTCGGAAAAAGAAACGCAACTTCTCTGTTGGCGTGTTTAAGTGAGTAAAATTATTTATTGCGCATTGCAAAAGTAGTGTTACAGAGGAACTATACAAAAATTCATTTTTCATTAACGTTAGCTAAATATATTCGTCAAGAAACCGTGACAACGGGTTTCGAGTCAATAAATTATAAGAATGTTTCAGACTTTTCCTAGTTACTTTTCGAAGTGAATCATTATTATATTCGTGCAGGGATTACAGCTAAATCTGATAATATTGTATTCGTGCCTCGAGAAATTAACTTCATCCTTTGCAATTAAAATTTTGCATTTTTTTTTATTTTGTTTATTTCTTACAATTATAAATTTTATGCTTATTATGTTTGTCAATAGAATATTTCATGCAAAATTCAACATACATTCAGCATATTTCAAGCAATCACGGAGAATTATAAGTAAATGTTCTAATCCAGTATAGTAGTAAATAAAGCAATGAAGAGTCGTCGAGGCCGAAAAAGTCTATCTATTTCTAATATTGCAATAGTTTATTATGGAGATTATTTACAATTAAGTACTCTGGTTGCGCAGGCATTTGCTGTAACAAAAAAAATCGTGAGATATAATCGGCATAAATATAAAAAATATTATTTTAACATGTACAATAAATAACGAAGGTATCTTTTTTTTTTTTTATTCAGGAAGTCGAAATATTACTATCTGATTAGAAAATTGAAAAGTAATATGATGCTTCATTGCTCTTCAAAAATCATATTTCTATTTGTTGCACACTAGCCTTGCCAAATCATCATTTTTATTAAGTATTTTTGCGCTTTTGTCAAACCAGGAAGCACTTTTGCACTAATTGTATTATAGCTCAGCTATTTACATGTATCGGATATTCAAACGCAAAAAATGCGTAGTTAAATATGGAAATGTGCTGCTTTTCATATTAATATTTTATACTTTCGTCCCATTTTCTCGTAATTCCAATTATTATTGTTAAATTAGCAAAATAATTTTCAACACGCGTCGTCTTTCGTAACTTTTTTATAATCCCTGTCATTGACTAGAGATCCAGTTTCTCTCCTATTTATTAACGACACGTTTAAAAAAAATCAAAGTCTTTAAGATATATGTATTGATATTTTTCTCTTCTTAGACCATTTTATTACACATTAAAACGTTCATGCATAAGTTTTTGTATAAAGTAATCACTTTCTTGAAAACTTACGTATTTTCTTGAAAAATAGTATTCTTCTCTTGGATTCATAATATTTCAATTTCTATCATCGTTTTTCTTTCTTTCAAAACAATTTGCACGTCACTGACTAGTCCCATGTTGTAGAAGAATTCTTCTTCCACACATTCGTCAAGAAGTGTCTTAATTTCATTATTCTCCCTTGTTCTTTCCCCAGATAATCGGATTAAAGTTTAATCACAATCTTCAATTCTAATATACCTCCTATTCGTTATTAGAAACTTACGATCTTTAAATTTCTCGACAAATTCTTGTATAATTTATACTGCGAAAAACGTCTTCATTTTTCAACGCGTCTGAATCTATTTTCGAGAGACAATTCTAATGAACAAACGTCAATTACTAAACAATTACGAGGACGCGAGTAATTTTGCCGCTGTAGTGACATGATGTTGATGATGATAGGGTGCTTCCTGGGTGCCATAATAACTCTGTTGCTGATGTTCGCTGGTAACAGTTAATTGATGAGGATGTTGATAATAAGATGAGTACGGTTGACCAACGACGCCATCACAGCTCCGCGGTTCCGTTTTCACAGCAGGTACATTTCCAGTCGCCAAGAGAGAAGTATGTCCGAGGTAAACAGGTCTATCAGTCGACGTTGATGAGCCCGATGACTTTGGCACCTCGATCTGATGTTGTTGTTGTTGCTGCTGCTGCTGCTGCTGCTGTTGTTGATTGTTCTTCAAGTCTGTGTAGACAAATATTTGCGACATTAAAACTAGATCGATGTATGTATACTATAAATAATAAAGTAATCAGAAAAACATAAATATTTTATAAGATGCAAGGAAAATGATATTTTTATTGATATGTGATAACTAAATTTAAACATATTTTCTAAATTGTGAGTAATGAATTATAAAAAATTAATTATTATCGTTATTACTAATTATATCATGTCTTTAGTTTATATATTAAGTTTATATATTAAAACGGAAGCTTATTTTAGAGTTTACATTTTTATATTTCATACGTAACATTTCTCTACCCAACTACAC